GGGGGGGGGATTTGTTTTATTTTATATGTAGACGACAGAGTCAGGTTGGAAGACAAGCCTTTTTGTGAGTGCTAGAAAATTATTGTTTCCCATATTTATCTGACAAAAAGCCCCTGGCTGGTTATAAACTTACCTACATCTATTATAGTTCAGCAGAAATGCCAAAAAAAGCTATTTAATTGTCCTGTAATAAGCCCATCCCCTATATAATTGTCCTGTAATAAGCCCATCCCCTATTTAATTGTCCTGTAATAAGCACATCCAGTATTTAATTGTCCTGTAATAAGCCCACCCCCTATTTAATTGTCCTGTAATAAGCCCATCCCCTATTTAATTGTCCTGTAATAAGCCCACCCCCTATTTAATTGTCCTGGAATAAGCCCACCCCCAATTTCATTATCCTGTAATAAGCCCATCCAGTATTTAATTGTCCTGTAATGAGCCCATCCCCTATTTAATTGTCCTGTAATAAGCCCACCCCCAATTTAATTGTCCTGTAATAAGCCCATCCCCTATTTAATTGTCCTGTAATAAGCCCATCCCCTATTTAATTGTCCTATAATAAGCCCATCCCCTATATAATTGTCCTGTAATAAGTCCATCCCCTATACAATTGTCCTGTAATAAGCCCATCCCCTATATAATTGTCCTGTAATAAGTCCATCCACTATACAATTGTCCTGTAATAAGCCCATCCCCTATATAATTGTCCTGTAATAAGCCCATCCCCTATATAATTGTCCTGTAATAAGCCCATCCCCTATTTAATTGTCCTATAATAAGCCCATCCCCTATATAATTGTCCTGTAATAAGCCCATTCCCTATTTAATTGTCCTGTAATAAGCCCATCCCCTATATAATTGTCCTGTAATAAGCCCATTCCCTATTTAATTGTCCTGTAATAAGCCCATCCCCTATATAATTTTCCTATAATAAGCCCATCCCCTATATAATTGTCCTGTAATAAGCCCATCCCCTATAGAATTGTCCTGTAATAAGCCCATCCCCTATATCATTGTCCTGTAATAAGTCCATCCCCTATATAATTGTCCTGTAATAAGCCCATCCCCTATATAATTGTCCTGTAATAAGCCCATTCCCTATATAATTGTCCTGTTATAAGCCCACCCCCTATTTGAGTCAGATATTATGTAAATGTTGGTGGGCTTATTGCACGATACATACAGTTTTTTTGTAAATGTAAATTGTTTTTATTTCTAGCCCTATATCTAGCAGTGTCGAGACACACCTGGGCTGAATCCTGTACACTGATGTACTGATAGAATGTATTGGAATAGGTATAACAAACCATATACTGTCGCTAGAAAAAGTGTTCATTTTTCCGAAAAAGGCGTTAAAATTAAGAAGAGTGCCATAATTGTCAAACTGAATCTTATAGCCTAAGGATCATGCAGATTTAAGATTTTCGTTAACTGACATCATCTGGTATGAAATTTTAAACAGATTACTTGTTGAAATATTATCTGCATACCTGTTAGACTATGTAGTAGTTTGCAAATAAGCTTTAAAAAAATACTGGGATACAGCGATATTTCATTTTTGTGTTACGATGGGATGCAATACTCCTGTGCATTGCGATTAACTCTTTTTTTTTATATATATTTTGACAGCCATAATACATAGTCAGAGTAAAACCTTTGTGATACTGACTGATATAAATGTCTGGTAGGTTTCATCAGAGACACCTAGTTTATGTCTCTGGCTACCTTATAACCCCAGTAAAGGAGCCACAGTTAACTACACCAAGGATTTACATTTCCCAACAGATAATGTCATATGGCACTGGAGCCCATTGGCACTTTGACCACTCGAGGGACACTTAATAGGGACAGTGTACAACACTGCAGTGTTACGCCACGCATTGACACAAGGGGATTATCACCTCATGATCACTCAGCCACAACAGGCGAGGAAGACACAGCTGGGAAGGAAGTTCAAGTTCAAGTTTTTCGTTATCTTAAGTCTTCCGACCCATCAGTCCAAACAACGCATAACATAACACAGAGAATTAAAACAAAACCCAACAGTACACAACACAAATATGATACAATAGAGTGTAATTTGAATGCAAACTGTAGACAGTCAAGATCTTCTCTTTTAACACTAGTTTGATGTATTACACCACATTGTTCATCAGATCACAGGGACCTCACACAAGTTCCATCATCAGATCACAGGGACCTCACACAAGATCCATCATCAGATCACAGGGACCTCACACAAATTACCTCATAAGATCACAGGGACCTCACACAAATTCCCTCATCAGAACCCAGGGACCTTACATTAACCTGTCCTCTTCAGATCCCAGGGACCTCACACAAAATACCTCATCAGATCACAGGGACCTCACACAACTTACCTCATTAGATCACAGGGACCTCACACAAAAGACCTCATCAGATCACAGGGACCTCACACAAGTTCCATCATCAGATCACAGGGACCTCACACAAATTACCTCATAAGATCACAGGGACCTCACACAAATTCCCTCATCAGAACACAGGGACCTCACACAAATTCCCTCATCAGAACACAGGGACCTTACATTAACCTGTCCTCTTCAGATCCCAGGGACCTCACACAAAATACCTCATCAGATCACAGGGACCTCACACAAATGACCTCATCAGATCACAGGGACCTCAAAACAAATTCCTCTTAAGATCAGAGGAACCTCACTCAAATTCCCTCATCAGATCACAGGGACCTCACACAACTTACCTCATTAGATCACAGGGACCTCACACAAATAACCTCATCAGATCACAGGGACCTCAAAACAAATTCCTCTTAAGATCAGAGGAACCTCACACAAATTCCATCATCAGATCACAGCGACCTCACACAAGTTTCCTCGTCAGATCACAGGGACATCAGATCACAGGGACCTCACACAAATTCCGTCATCAGATCACACGGGCCTCACACAAATTCCCTCATCAGATCACAGGGACATCAGATCACAGGGACCTCACACAAATTCCATCATCAGATCACAGGGACCTTAAACATTTTTCCTCTTCAGATCACATGGACCTCAGACAAATTTCCTCTTCAGATCACAGAAACCTCACACAAAGTCGGGATCCCTCACCAGGGCCCGTATCCATGAAACTGTTCTCATGCTCAAGGATGGATTCTGTGCTCAACCCAAACTTCTTGTAACTGGTTTAAATCATCAAAAATATCTAAGCATTTTACACAGTATCTGGTTAGAAGTCTGTCCAAAAATTCTTCCAAAGCATAGACCAAATACAAAGTTTTATTTATCAATGGTACAAGAAATTAGGCTTGAGCACAGAATCTGAGTTTGAGCATGAGGGCGGTCTCGAGAAAAATGACCCAGATCACAGTAACCTAATGCAGACAAGCTTAGGTTTCCTCATCGGATCACATTGACCTAGCTCACAAAAAGTTTTCTAGACAAAGCAGTGAACATGTACTCACGGTCTATTATATTTTGTCATGGGTCCCAAATCAAATAATGGCAGACTTTTATATATATGATCTATATATCCAATGGTCTCATATCACTCCAAAGGTGTTAGTTCCTTAGTGTATTGGGGAATCAAATTATGTATACTTATATACATCTTAAGGAGAATCGGATTTGGTTGTGCTTTTGCGCTGATGTTTGATTCTCTTTTTCGTAATGGCATTCACACATAAGAGGTTTTGATATCGTAACTCTAAAATATCTAGTGACCTAGTAGAACAACATTGACTCATGGTGTCACCTGTTGACATTAACTAAATTTATCCTTTTGTTCTTTAAGGATCTCTGTCCCACTGTAGTGTTTTTCTATGCAGTTACCTCCCCTTAACTTACATTTAAACAGAACTGTCGCACAGCTTGGCTAGGCCACTTCCAGTGATCAGTAAGATCGACAGTAAAATAATCTGATGGATTCAGGGTTCGAATCCCGGTCTGCCATCCTGCTGATTTTTTCTCCTCAGAACACTGCATATCATATTGTTGATTTATATTTGGTTTATTTCAGATAGATTGTTTCTCATACGAGTCCAGCAAAGTATGGTTTTCTTTTCAGAAATTATTATCAAAGCCAAAGTCGAGCTGGAAAAAACAGTTTCAAATACTTCAATAGTAACAGTTTTAGGCTGTGGTACAAGGATCCTTAAGGTTGTTTATACTGTTTGTCTTGACCATCATCTAAGGGTTATTAATCTTGTCATTTAATTTTCTTGTTTTAATTTAGATTTAATTTGATATACCAAAAATGTTTTTTTAGTGCTTTTTAGGGCAAAGATAACAAGATTAGAGTCGGACACCAGCTGGTTGAAAGACTGGAGCATCTTCTTGAATTCTGTACCTAGACTTTTAAGCAGGCAATTGCATTGACATGATCTCTGTGTTGTGCTGAGTGAGTGAGTGATAAAACATTTATTTATTTTTTAATTTCAATTCACTGGCACAAAAGTCTGGTTTGTATCAAATATATATATTGAAATATGGCATGTACCAATCATAGAGAAATTTGAACATGTTCCAAAAAAATGTGCGGTTGTGTAATATGAGAACCATGTAAACACATATGGGTGACTTTAACCTGGGATTCTCACACCTCTAAAAAGACATAACCCTTAATTAATTTTCATACCACCAATCTTTACCAGTGACTAACACGTCTAATATGTGTTAATATTATCTATGATAGTTTTTAGTGGTTGAGAAACTTAATGCAAATGTCTTGGAAAAAACATTCAAAAATCATTCAAAACAATTAAGTGTTAAAGATATCAAGATGAAATCAGTATAGAAGTTAACTTCTTGTTTAAAATTCAAAATAGGCAACGCCCACTAGCTTTCACTTTACCTGCAGTACTTTCGTTTTCACTTTCAAAAGTCTTCAGTTCGTTAAATAGAAGAGATCTTTCGTGGGGCTTCAGGGCAAAAATGAAGTCCTTAGCAGTAGAAGAATCCTCCACCGACCCATGTATATCTCTGTACACAGTTGTAAACCGATTGTCAGGAAACTCAGGGTTGATGAGTTTGTGACTGTGAGCTCTCCTCCTTGAAGAAATAGCTTGCCAGGAACATCCCTGTCGTATGTACTGTCTTTGAAGGCAGATACACGCCGTACATCCCAGCCGTTGCAGAGCCATGTCTCACTACGAACAGGTCTGTCACCGTTAGCACATGTGAACCGCTATTTAATACGCTAACCGATCGATGACAAGCATTGACCTCTGTAGTAAAAGGGGAGTAATCATTATTTCAGCATTAAACTAATGTTTTTGATTTATAAATGTATCGAATTTTACATCTTCTACACATTAAAAATTATGGGAATGTTACAAAATATTTTTGTTTGTCAAGATTTTTTTTCTCTTAATGTTATTATCTTTATCAAAATATTTTGAAAACAATGACTGGTCCTTACTTCAAAATCACATGACATTCCAAAATGGCGAACGGAATGATGCTGTCGGTATTTGTGTGTTTGGCTGCTCTATCTGGCTGTTTAGCTGTGACACCGGTCGTCATATGGCATGGCATGGGTAAGTTTGTATATCATTCTCCGAAAACAAGCAATTTATGGATGATGACATGTTTAAGTATGTGGTTTTAATTTATTTTGTTAGTTTATTTGTGTAACTTAGCGTGCATTTCAGACGCGCACCTTTCCCTTGAATTTCCTTAGGGGTTCATAGTTCAGTGGGCGATGACTTTTTCTTTAACCCAACGCATCATTGAAATCAGTCGATATTTTGCTTATCAAACATTTAAGATATTGGTGTCAATAGACTGGCTTTGCACAAATATATATAAACTTTATTCATTTTACAACATTTTTTTTTCTTTTCAATTCATTGAATGTGGAAGGAAACCGGGGAAACCCAGAGAAAACCCATGTTGTCAGGCATGTGATCCAATACATCTCATTTCTGATCAGGAAATTGTACCCGTCTGACTTTGCGAAAGACAGGTCACTCATTGTTCACCACCCTGAATTAATATAAATATCTGATGCTTCCACCAGATGCTGAATATTTCAAAGATTCAGCATCTTATAAGAACCTTTACTGCAGATATTATCCTTTGACTAATACCCAGGGAGGGAGGTTTTGCACATTTTTTTCTTGCAGCAGTTTTCCAAATTTGAAGAATGATTTAACAGCTACTTGTTGCATAAAGTTATTGACACAATTTATAGTTCATTTTTCGTGTTACTTTGTAGCCGGAATTTCCTCCGGCCCTGATACCAGACTTAGATATTTTGACAGATAGATGTTTGGTGTGGGACCAGGTGCACTTCTATATGAAAACATGTAATTCCTCCGACACCGTTTGGTATTGGAGTTTTTATTAGGTGCTGACAAACTAAATCTACTATGGCACATGCTATAACCTGTCCTCTTGAATCATCTTGCACAACTCATACCACACATTTGTATATAGATAAAGGGGTAATTTATGGATCCAAATCTGTCCTCATTATCACCAACAACTGCTTCATTCCATCAGTTAAGTTCCAACCTGAGCAAAGCCATTTTGTAGGACATGCGAATGAGTAATCAACAAACCGAACTGATCCAGAGTCTAGACAGAAAATCAGAAAATATTATTCTTGTTTAGAAGAGTTCTGTACTGCCTCTTCTTGTTGATTTGTCACTCCCTACAAAATGGCTTTGCTTAGATGGGAAATTTTTGGACGATTGAAAATCATGGACGATTGGAGATGTTTTCAAAAATTCAGAAATATTGAGTCAATTTGAAATTGAACAATTTTGCTTGTAGTATGAATTCTGTAAAATATGCTTCAGGAAAAATAGTAAACTTTAGATTATTTTTTTTGAGGTATTACATAAAAGCAACTAATACAAGCACTTGGCTTTTTAGGGGACAGCTGCTGTAACCCAGAGAGCATGGGTAGCATTAAAAAAATTATTGAGAAGGAGGTCAAAGGCGTGTATGTCAACAGTCTGATGATCGGCAGCAACATCGCAGCGGTAAGTAAATATAGCAGTAAACAACAGAAATCTGGATTGTTTCTTAAGCCAATATATTCCTAGTTTGTTAAGATGTCTGTGGATGGTTTTGATACAAAAACTTTGCAGTGGCTTTGGATTTACATTTGATGACCTCTGACATAGTTAATGTCAAGGCTGTTTGACCTCTGACATAGTTAATGTCAAGGCTGTTTGACCTCTAACATAGGTGATGTCAAGGCTGTTTGACGTCTGACATGCCATTATACATGCAACATCATCTCTAAGACAGGGAATTTACATGCAATTTGAAATATTGATTTTGTGTTGTTTTATGCTGTCTCAAATAAATTTTGTCATCATTTTGATTGCAAAAGAACAATGAAATGGCTTACTTTAATTCATGTCAAAAAAACCTATTTCAGATTTATAATACATCCACCTTATTAAGTCCTAACAACATGTTTCTTTCCTGACACAAAGGACACAACCAATGGCTTCTTTATGAATGCTAACGACCAGATTACTTTGGCCTGCTCCCTGATCGCCAAGGATTCCAAACTCCAGAACGGATACCATTCCATTGGATTTTCTCAAGGTGGACAGTTCTTGTAAGTTGGATTAAATCAATTGATAAAGTAAATGAAGCACAGCGTCTCAATTTCTCGGGACTAAATCTAACATTCAACCACCTCTCTGTATGATGATACTTAAAAAGTAGAAATGTTTGCATTGTGACTCTATAAATTGTTTGTGGTGTCAATTTTTTACGTTGGCAGTGGTTATGAAATCTGAAATCTAGTATCTAGATGATCTATCAGTAAATATACACTTGTGGACATTTTTGCGCTAATTTACTTGATGCGAAAAGAATGTGAAGATTTCCACACTGCGAAAAGTTCAAGCTTTTACAGTTTTAATACTGCTGCTTTAAGTCCCTGTTCCAGTTTTGGACTCTCATCATATGTTCAGGTGTTAGGATGTTAGTTTAGCCTTTAGGTGAGTGTAAGAGATGCATGTCAGATGGGTCCCCATCATTTCTTTCTTAAAACGGGGCTTCTAGTTAGCTATGGTTGAGTTAATGTGCTTGTTAAACTGCCTGTAATTATATATGTACTGGTTAAACTGCCTGTAATTATATATGTACTGGTTAAACTACCTGTAATTATATATGGTACCGAATTCCCCGTTATCCTGCCCAGCAGATGACATGGGTTTATTTCTTAAACATCCCTTGTCATAATGTATGTGATGAAGACGTAAGTTCCTTGTCATAATGTATGTGACGAAGACGTATGTCCCTTGTCATAATGTATGTGATGAAGACGTAATTTCCTTGTCATAATGTATGTGATGAAGACGTAAGTTCATTGTCATAATGTATGTGATGAAGACGTAATTTCCTTGTCATAATGTATGTGATGAAGACGTAATTTCCTTGTCATAATGTATGTGATGAAGACGTAATTTCCTTGTCATAATGTATGTGATGAAGACGTAATTTCCTTGTCATAATGTATGTGATGAAGACGTAATTTCCTTGTCATAATGTATGTGATGAAGACGTAATTTCCTTGTCATAATGTATGTGATGAAGACGTAATTTCCTTGTCATAATGTATGTGATGAAGACGTAATTTCCTTGTCATAATGTATGTGATGAAGACGTAATTTCCTTGTCATAATGTATGTGAGGAAGACATATGTCCCTTGTCATAATGTATGTGATGAAGACGTATGTCCCTTGCCATAATGTATGTGATGAAGACGTATGTACCTTGTCATAATGTATGTGATGAAGACGTAAGTTCCTTGTCATAATGTATGTGATGAAGACGTATGTCCCTTGTCATAATGTATGTGATGAAGACGTATGTCCCTTGTCATAATGTATGTGATGAAGACGTATGTCCCTTGTCATAATGTATGTGATGAAGACGTATGTCCCTTGTCATAATGTATGTGATGAAGACGTATGTCCCTTGTCATAATGTATGTGATGAAGACGTATGTCCCTTGTCATAATGTATGTGATGAAGACGTATGTCCCTTGTCATAATGTATGTGATGAAGACGTATGTCCCTTGTCATAATGTATGTGATGAAGACGTATGTCCCTTGTCATAATGTATGTGATGAAGACGTATGTCCCTTGTCATAATGTATGTGATGAAGACGTATGTCCCTTGTCATAATGTATGTGATGAAGACGTATGTCCCTTGTCATAATGTATGTGATGAAGACGTATGTCCCTTGTCATAATGTATGTGATGAAGACGTATGTCCCTTGTCATAATGTATGTGATGAAGACGTATGTCCCTTGTCATAATGTATGTGATGAAGACGTATGTCCCTTGTCATAATGTATGTGATGAAGACGTATGTCCCTTGTCATAATGTATGTGATGAAGACGTATGTCCCTTGTCATAATGTATGTGATGAAGACGTATGTCCCTTGTCATAATGTATGTGATGAAGACGTATGTCCCTTGTCATAATGTATGTGATGAAGACGTATGTCCCTTGTCATAATGTATGTGATGAAGACGTATGTCCCTTGTCATAATGTATGTGATGAAGACGTATGTCCCTTGTCATAATGTATGTGATGAAGACGTATGTCCCTTGTCATAATGTATGTGATGAAGACGTATGTCCCTTGTCATAATGTATGTGATGAAGACGTATGTCCCTTGTCATAATGTATGTGATGAAGACGTATGTCCCTTGTCATAATGTATGTGATGAAGACGTATGTCCCTTGTCATAATGTATGTGATGAAGACGTATGTCCCTTGTCATAATGTATGTGATGAAGACGTATGTCCCTTGTCATAATGTATGTGATGAAGACGTATGTCCCTTGTCATAATGTATGTGATGAAGACGTATGTCCCTTGTCATAATGTATGTGATGAAGACGTATGTCCCTTGTCATAATGTATGTGATGAAGACGTATGTCCCTTGTCATAATGTATGTGATGAAGACGTATGTCCCTTGTCATAATGTATGTGATGAAGACGTATGTCCCTTGTCATAATGTATGTGATGAAGACGTATGTCCCTTGTCATAATGTATGTGATGAAGACGTATGTCCCTTGTCATAATGTATGTGATGAAGACGTATGTCCCTTGTCATAATGTATGTGATGAAGACGTATGTCCCTTGTCATAATGTATGTGATGAAGACGTATGTCCCTTGTCATAATGTATGTGATGAAGACGTATGTCCCTTGTCATAATGTATGTGATGAAGACGTATGTCCCTTGTCATAATGTATGTGATGAAGACGTATGTCCCTTGTCATAATGTATGTGATGAAGACGTATGTCCCTTGTCATAATGTATGTGATGAAGACGTATGTCCCTTGTCATAATGTATGTGATGAAGACGTATGTCCCTTGTCATAATGTATGTGATGAAGACGTATGTCCCTTGTCATAATGTATGTGATGAAGACGTATGTCCCTTGTCATAATGTATGTGATGAAGACGTATGTCCCTTGTCATAATGTATGTGATGAAGACGTATGTCCCTTGTCATAATGTATGTGATGAAGACGTATGTCCCTTGTCATAATGTATGTGATGAAGACGTATGTCCCTTGTCATAATGTATGTGATGAAGACGTATGTCCCTTGTCATAATGTATGTGATGAAGACGTATGTCCCTTGTCATAATGTATGTGATGAAGACGTATGTCCCTTGTCATAATGTATGTGATGAAGACGTATGTCCCTTGTCATAATGTATGTGATGAAGACGTATGTCCCTTGTCATAATGTATGTGATGAAGACGTATGTCCCTTGTCATAATGTATGTGATGAAGACGTATGTCCCTTGTCATAATGTATGTGATGAAGACGTATGTCCCTTGTCATAATGTATGTGATGAAGACGTATGTCCCTTGTCATAATGTATGTGATGAAGACGTATGTCCCTTGTCATAATGTATGTGATGAAGACGTATGTCCCTTGTCATAATGTATGTGATGAAGACGTATGTCCCTTGTCATAATGTATGTGATGAAGACGTATGTCCCTTGTCATAATGTATGTGATGAAGACGTATGTCCCTTGTCATAATGTATGTGATGAAGACGTATGTCCCTTGTCATAATGTATGTGATGAAGACGTATGTCCCTTGTCATAATGTATGTGATGAAGACGTATGTCCCTTGTCATAATGTATGTGATGAAGACGTATGTCCCTTGTCATAATGTATGTGATGAAGACGTATGTCCCTTGTCATAATGTATGTGATGAAGACGTATGTCCCTTGTCATAATGTATGTGATGAAGACGTATGTCCCTTGTCATAATGTATGTGATGAAGACGTATGTCCCTTGTCATAATGTATGTGATGAAGACGTATGTCCCTTGTCATAATGTATGTGATGAAGACGTATGTCCCTTGTCATAATGTATGTGATGAAGACGTATGTCCCTTGTCATAATGTATGTGATGAAGACGTATGTCCCTTGTCATAATGTATGTGATGAAGACGTATGTCCCTTGTCATAATGTATGTGATGAAGACGTATGTCCCTTGTCATAATGTATGTGATGAAGACGTATGTCCCTTGCCATAATGTATGTGATGAAGACGTATGTCCCTTGTCATAATGTATGTGATGAAGACGTAATTTCCTTGTCATAATGTATGTGATGAAGACGTATGTCCCTTGCCATAATGTATGTGATGAAGACGTATGTCCCTTGTCATAATGTATGTGATGAAGACGTAAGTTCCTTGTCATAATGTCTGTGATAAGGACGTATGACCCTTGTCATAATGTTATATTTGTTTATAAACACTTTTAAGTAAACATGAGGATGAAAGTGAGTCCTTAATCCCCCATCATAAAACATACACATGTAAGTCCCCACTTCAGCGAAAATTTTAAAAGTTTACTAGTGATCTAATGTATACAACTGTAATGGAGCGGTTTCTATCCAATGTATACAACTGTAAAAGGAGCGGTTTCTATCTAATGTATACAACTGTAAAAGGAGAGGTCTCTATCTAATGTATACAACTGTAAAAGGAGCAGTTTCTATCTAATGTATACAACTGTAAAAGGAGCGGTTTCTATCTAATGTATACAACTGTGAAAGGAACGGTTTCTATCTAATGTATACAACTGTAAAAGGAGCGGTTTCTATCCAAGAAACCTAACCCAGGTTTGTTAATCTCGGGTCCATTTGGGTCTTATAAATTGATGAACATGAAGTATGGCAAATGAACATAGACTCAAGGATATAAACTTCAATATCTTTTATTAAACACAAAAAGTGTAAAGAAATATCAGTACAATACACGATAACATATCTCACACCCTTACTCACACTATACAACACCGTTCATTAACACTAGTGGCTACGAGGCCTACTCCTATAAGCATAGACGACGGACTCTACGTTGGAATTCTATATAGACACGTGTACAGACTACTTTCTAACCCTAACACTAAACATTATTGCTGGTCCTACATTATTACCTAACGAGTCCTAGAAAGAAGGAGAGAAAGAGGGAGTCAGGCAGTCTTACGAGGACTTTACTTCTGACTGACGAACTATACAAAACCATCGCA